TGCGCTTTGGACCAACATTCCTGAGCTATGCCAACTCAACCGGGTATGCTCAGGCGACCATCCTCATGCTGCTTGGGGGCTAACAGCTTCAGGCTCTTTTGCAACGGCTGATGAACGCGCGTATAATTTAATCGTGAGCTTTGTGCGGGCTGGGCAGTGGCAATTGAACAGTTTGCCTTGCGTAAGCAACTGACGCCGTCGCCTGAGACACTAGATGTTGTTCAGTCAGAGCACCTCCACGTCAAAGACAGAGCGAACAGGGCCTTTTTGGGAGCCCTGCCACGTGGCAGCAAGTTGCCATCCTTGCTGACTGACTTTTTGGAGGAGATTGTTGTGCCAATGACAGACTACGCGTGTCTGCTGCATGCCAAGCCGGGTTCGCGTTTACCTGACAATCAGCATTTTCCTATAATGCGCTCGACTCTTGAGCGTTTGGAATGAGCAGAAGGGGGAAGACGAGAAAGTGCAGTGCCTGATGGCGCGTGTTGGGTTACCAGTGGAGCCGCTGGACTATGCAGCAAAGGCTGGCTGCTAACCATATCCTTTGAACTCCGGGAGGCCAGATTTTTGGACCAAACAGATGCTTGGTTTGCTTGAGCAGTGCAAGCCCATGGAAGAGCAGATGTCGCTTGAGAGACCCTTGCATTTGCGAAGTGTTTTGCGTGGCAAGCGTTTTCACGAGGCTCTCAAGGCCATTGACTACAAGGATGCTTCTGTGGCTGAGGAAGCCCAAGTTCGCTTCCCTCTGGTGGGGTGGATGAAATGCTCTGGTGTTTTTGCGGCCAACCTTCGCCCTCCTGCTTTGCATGTGTCTGCATTTGAGACTATGGCGGCGGCCCATTCTGCCAGGACTATAGCTGGTGTCAAGCCTACAATGGATGCACTCTTGAGGGCCCTTTTGAGGTGGACCAGCTGCCCAAGGGACACGTAGCATCACGTTTTGGCATACGACAGGGGTTAAAGGCTTTGTGGTCTCAACAGTGCAGTTGGCTTGCTGGAGCGTTTGGAAGTCGACACCATTGACGAGGTGGCTGGAATTATCAAGCCCTGCATGCAGCTTCATGGTGCACATTGCAACTTGGTTGGTAGGATTTAGGACTTGAAGAAAGCCTAGCGCCAGCTTGGGGTGAATGAAGCCCATGACAAGTTTTCATGGATCGCTGCTAGGTCCACTGATCACAAAGCGTGAAACTTTTTCGCATGAAGGGTTTGCCGTTTGGTGGAACGGCATCAATGGCTTCTTTCCTGCGCATGTCCAGGGCCTTGAAGGAGGTGGGCATTGCAGGCGCCTGCCTGGTATGGTCATCATTCTTTGATGACTTTGTCTGCGTGGCTCGTCCTGAAGATGCAGCTAGCACTGACATGGCCGTGAGGTTTCTCTTCAAAGCTTTTGGCTGGGTTCTGTCGGAGGACCTTGAGAAGGATTCGGGGTTCAGGCCAGTTTTTTCGGCCCTTGGTGTGGAAGTGGAATTTGACTTGCGTGGTGTTTCGCAAGGCGTCTTGCGCGTAGGCAACACCGAAAAGAGAAAGGGTGAGCTCAAGTCAATGGTTGAAAAGGATTTGGCCGAAGGCAGCATGACACCGGGGGAATCTGAGAGTCTTCGGTCTCGCCTGATGTTTGCTGAGTCGCAGCTCTTTGGCCGCAGTGCCATTGGTGGCCTTGCTTTGCCTGGCCAGGTTTGCAAACCGCTTACAGATGAGGTGCGGTTTGGGTTGACGTGGATGCTCTCGCGTTTGGTGGAAGCACCGCCTTGTGAGGTGCGTGCCCAGGAACAGGACACGTTGTTTCTTTCATTGATGGAGCTTGGGAACCTGTTGCAGACAGTGGCACTCAATCTGTGACGTCCATCGGTGCAGTTTTGCTGGACGGGGCAGGCCGTGGCTTGCGTTTTTATTGGACGGACGCTTCCTGCTTTCGTTGCAGATGTCTGGTCGAACGGGCAACGCAGAAACCTAGTCTTTGAGGCTGAAGTGCTGCCATACTGTCTGGCTTTGACTTGCTGGGCAGACCTCTTGAAAGACCGCCACCTGGTAATTTTCATCGACAATGATGGAGCACAGTTGGATCAGTGGTTGTGCCGATTCAAAACATGCACGATGGATGATGCACCAAGGATCCTTGAAAGAAGCTTGCTTGAACACTGTTCCCTACTTCAGCAGAGTAACACCCACAGCCAGCAATTTGGCTGATGGGCCTTCTCGCCTTTATTTTGACCTGTGCATCCGACTGGGTGCAGTGCAAATTCTGATATCCGATGGCGATCTCAGACAATGTGCTTTCCACTTGGGGTGTTGGTGGCACCTGGGATATACCCCGACCTATTCAAAGAGTGGTTGGCAAAATGGTTGCTTTGGGCTGCTGAGTGCATGACCCATGCGAGTTTTTGATGCGAGGTCCTTTTTTGTTTTGTGGCGGCGTGTTTTTAGATTTTTGGATTTGTGCCTGCGATTTGTTTGACGCACATGGTATTCATGAGAACATCTGAACGCGTGTTGGAAG